TGTATCAACATCAAAATATTATAAATATTTACTGTCAGCATCACTTATTCCCGATCTATCTACTGGTAGTTCTACATCACAAGCAGTAAAAAAGAATGAAGTTCTAATTTAAAAAAAATGCGCCCTAGGAAAAAGAAAGTCACCAAAACAAAAATACTGGACATAGGTGCTATTTGAGATGTTATTTATAGCATGGACGAATCGAGTAAGTAAAGACAAATTATTAGTAAACTATTTTAAAATAATATATGAATGCAGAGGAGCATGTAATTGTAGATTCTTTGTTGGTGAAATTCAATGAGAGTTGTTCAATGGGTATCGCACTAGAAATAGGTTCTAAATGAATTAAGGCGGGCGTTTATGAAAGTTCCTGATGCTGCCTTGAAACGGCCAGAATGTTTAAGGAAATATGTCAAAGAAAAGGAACCAAGTTTAAATCAGTTTGTTTTTATTAATAAAACTAGAATTTTCCAAAATGGTGCGATGAGCTGTTCTTGAAACGACAGCAATAAAAGAAGTGTAAAAAGTACTAAAGTTTTTGTTAAAAGTTTGTTAAAAAAACTAAGAAATAGGTATATTAGATCTGCGCATATGTTCAATAAAAAAAAAATAAATTTTAATTCCAGAGTTAGGCAAAACTTTTTTCAGAGTTTTTACTGTTAGGAACAATTTACCTGATAATGTTGTATGAGCATCTTCAGCTGACACGTTTAAAAACCAATTTGATTATTTAGGATAAGTAGGTATAATTACAAATTAAATTAAGTACATAATATTATTGGATATATTTTTTTATAGGTATATAATTCTTCATGCTGGAAATGAAAATGAATTCATTGATGGTGCCGGGGCTACATTTGCTTTAAAAAGCAATCAAAGTAATTATCATGGTGAGATAAATAACGAAATTTTTTTTTAAGTGATTCGAAGAACAAAGAGACATCATGAACCATCATTTAATTGTAATGGACAATGCTTTATTATATCATAGCACATTATGCTACTACAACTATGCAAATATTCAGCATAGTCTCTCATTCCCAGATTGAATCCCTATTTCACTTTTCTATATGATTGATATATCATAAATCACGATCAATGCCAGTGTTATAAAAATCTGAAATCTTTATAGCCTGGTTATCTAAAAAAATATAAGCCGCGCTAAATGAACATTCGAGTACCACTCAATTTTTTTATCTGCCATATAATAGCTACTAGTTTTTGTCGAAGTAATATAATCATAAAAACTTCTATAGATAAATATATATTTGTTTGTTTTGTACATGATTACGACCGAAATGACTATTTTCAAGTTCGAAAAGAACTCCGAATATTTTAAGATATTCTATATATAATATACAAAATATACGTAATGGTTATACCTTGTTACAAAATCTGGTTGAAGCTTTATTTCTTATTATGTTTTTTTTGCAAACAAAAATTCATATTTCATATGTCTAACGCAGACAGGAAATTTAGTTCTAGTTAACTAAAAACTAAACTACTTCATTTCAGATCTTAGAGCTAGTTCATTAATTCACCATGTGAACTATGCACAAGTTTACACATATTTGGATTGTTACTATACAGAGTATTATTAAACTCTTAAACTACATGTACAAACATGGGCGTCGTTACACAATTCTATAGGGGGGGGGGGGGGCAAAATTTTGAAGAAATATAGTATGTTTATTTATTAAAAAACAAAGAAAATGAAACATTCTGTGACCTCATGGCTTACTTCCGGTCTTTCCAGAAATAACAGAAAATCGAAATTTATTTTTTATTTTTAAATGAAAACCTTTTTTTTATTGAAAATTTGAATTTCTGGTACATTTTGTATAAGAAGCGTGTATTGAAAATTTTTTCAGTAACATTAAAAAAAATATGTTTCAATATGATGATCATTTTGACAGCTGACAAAAAATTTTCAACAAATGATTCTTATCCATAAATGTCTCTAAAATTCAAATGTTCAATAATAACGGGGTTTCTATTTAAAAATTAAAAATAAATTGAGATTTTATTTCTGATGAAACAGAAGTAAGCCATGAAGTCACACACCAATTGAATCCAGTATATGAGAGTATTTGTCCCAAGCTTTTAAACAAATAAGTTTTCATTCCAGTATCTCAATTAACAACGAAGATAAAATCGGATAGAATTATTAAACGGTTTGCTAATAATAAAAATGCTTAGATACGCCACTGGTATACGTTAAATGGGTCTCAATGGGAATTTTGAAGCCTAAAAAGATTTTATAAAGTTCGTACATTCCTATATGTTTTTCCATAAACGAATTAATAGTAACATATTTAGAAAAAATATTATCCAATATGGCGGCCATTTTGACAGCTGACAGAAAATTGTCAATACACGATTATTATACAAAAATGTCCCAGAAATTTAAATTTGCAATAAAAAAGAGAGTTTCCTTTTAAAAATAAAAAAAAAATATTATTTTCGGAAAAATCGGAAGTAAGCCATGACGTCACAGAACAATTGAATCCATTATAAGAAAGTCTTTCAAACAGAACAAAATTAATCCGATATCTCACTGAATAGCGAAGCTAAGGGGGAGTGGAACTGTAGTAGTAACCCTAACAATGTCAGTGACCTATTTGACAAAACTGATACTTAAATTGTCATAACAAGTCTCTAATAAATAAAATAATCCAAGAAAAAAAGACAAAATAAAAGTATATAGATTTATAAAACAAGTGAAAAAATTATTAATATTATTATACATTTATATTACTTCAGCTAAAAAAAAGTAGTATAATCAATAAAAATCAATAATAAATCATAGGTAGGTATTTACGAGAAAATGTATGAGATCTTGCCTAAGCCTAATAAGTTGTCATTGAAGAATAGGTTAAATAATGTCAAAATAAAAACACTACTATTATATAATAACGTAGAATTAAAACGTATTAACAAAAATAATTGGTATATTTGCGATTGTAATTTATATTTTCTTCATTTTTAGTTCGAAAGAACCCATAGAAATTAATGATTAAAACTGGTTTCCTATCAATAAGTCATAAGATTGCACTTCAGCCATATACAATAATTAAAGGCAGAAATCTAATCATTTGCTAAACATTTAAGACTTAAGGGATGTTGAAGAATATCATAAAATAATAATTTATTATTTACAACCTTTTCTGATGTTTATTATTTCCAGTATTACTGTTATTATTACAAAAATGAAGGTTTTTTTCTTCTTATTATACAGCTAATTATTTTTTATTTATTTAATTTGGATTTTGCTACTGAAAATTTATATAATTTACAGTTTTTTTGCTAGTATAATTTGCAACATAGCAACTCCGGTTGCTCATTCTATTGTTTTTAACCTATTTTTTAGTAAAAAGTAAAATGTATACGCGTATTTGATACGCCAAAATTACAAAATATCGCCCTAAAGTACTCGAATTATCTGCAGCTTGCGCTAGTATCGCTTTTGCTTTCCCTACCATGACTTTGCACTGATCGAATAGATCGCAGCCATGTTTTAAACGTTCTTTCGATTAACTCTGTCATTGGTGGAAGAGCCATAAATATTTTTTAAACCACTATTTATTTCTGGATAAAATTCACAATGTTTGGATGCTATATCATTAATGAAAAGCTCATTGTGTGTAGAAAGCTCTTTGGTACTCCAGTTTGGTATTCAGCTTCAAAATTGTCGATTCCAAATTTTTCCACTACTTTCATTTTCTAATTAGTAGTGAAAAAAGTATTGTTTTTATGCTATTGGGATGTAACAGGCTTAAGGAAAATTAACAGAGTCTTCGCAAAGCGTGATGTAAGCGACGTAATAAGGGAATCCAGATATCGTCGGCCTAAGATGCAAATGGCCTAACTCCACTTTTTACCAAAGGTACGTTTTATTGGCTACCCGTTAGTTAAAGATCTGTACTGTCGATTCGAAATGGCCTGTCAAGCCTATTTTAAATATTCGCGCCAAAAATAACATGACTCATTTTGTATAATCCCTTTACATTAAGGTTAGGTCTAAAAGATTATTTGCGTTTCCTGAAAAATTTATATTTTATGAGTTAGGCCATTTGCATCTTAGACCGACGATATTCAATAAATATATTCAACCTATAATATTCTTCAACTATATTAGCCTTAATATTATTATTTCTATATGAGATTGTTGTTCGTATGCATAATATTACGCGTTGTTGATTAAGTCGCTAAAAGCCAGGGGGGGGGGGGGCAACTGCCCCCCTTGCCCCCCCCAAACGACACCCATGTGTACAAATTAAAAGTGAAAATAGTCCAAAAATGACACCAATTGATGAACAGCCTTTGGCAACCGGCTTCACTTGAAGCGGAAAAGGCGTTGGCGGTTTAGTACCAAATTTACAATATTTAAAACTACGTAAAACAAATTCTAACACGTCACAGCCCTGTTACTAAAATATGACGGAACAGTGAAAAATCTAAATACTGCATTACACACTCTATTCGAATGCCAAAGAGTTGATAAATAAAGAACGTAAATGATAGAGAGGGGAATTAATGCGGATAATATGGTTTAAAAAATGATGGAGAGTGCCGAAATGTTTTTACTGGTGAAAAAAAATTTACAAAATGTATTTAATCTATTAATTATTTCTATTTCTTCAAAATAATAGTAGATAGTAAGCCACTTTACCCCACTTTCATCGATTTTACCACAAATCTGGGAAAATATGTAAAGTAGATTTGGCAACACCGCACCACATGAATTACTGGAAAGTGTGACCGATAATTCATCGTAACAGAAAGTAACCTCCCTGTTATATGTCTAAGGGATCTAGCGATCTGAACGGTGTACTGGTAGAGCGGCGTTGTCATTTGGTGACATGATTCTGGAGAATTATTGGGCATACTAACAATTGATTATTGTGATGCTAAGTTGCTAGATGTACTCCAGAAATCAATAACAGTGTAGTCATGTCCATATTTTTGGTGTATTTTTAAATAAAGTATTATCGACTCACCTATGATTTTGAAACCAAATCTTGACTTGCGTCGGCGTCAGTCTAATTATCGACGCCAAATGCTCTCGTTCAGGTGCAGAGAGATACCTCTGCTGCCTAAACCTCCTCTCCAATTCGTAGGTCTGAGCTTTGGAGAACAGCACCCTCCTTTTTCGTTTCTTCTGTCCGGAGATGTGTTGGTCGCCCTCGTCTTTCGCGTCATCTTGCTCCTCCATTTCTCCCTCCGATATGGTGCCCATGGAGGAAGGGGCTTGGTTAAGGGGGTTCGATTGCAAGGAGTTTTCTGGAAGGGGTGTGTCTGGGGGAACGCTGGATCTTTCGCTCATGGCAGGTGATGTGCTGTCCGGACTGAGTTGGGACGGATGTGGCGGTAAGGTATGGTGGGGTTGGTTTGGAGGCATGCCTGGAACAAAATAGGTAAAATAAGTTGATTTAAACCTCTTCAGTTCTAGTAGATTTTTAAGAAAAACATCTCTTTATGTGCTTTGCTAGTAAACATAATACAATACTATATTCTTAAAACGTTTCTGCAGTTAAGTATAATGTCAATAATAGAGAGTAGGTGTCCTAGAATTACAAAATTTTGCAAAAATAAGGAAAACTGTTCCCAAAAGGGCAAAATAGTAAACAAAAAGTAGAATAGGATAAAATAAATTTGCTAGAATTATTAAATTTTGCAAAAATAAGGAAAGCATTATTGGTTTAGAATGAACTTTTATTTAAGTACAATAATAAATAATAAATACGAATTTCATCTACGTATATAGATTGATGAAGAAATCAAATATGATTGATTTAATTAGTTGATATCATTTGAAAAATTAGATCAGATTATTTTATTTATCTAACACCGTTAAGACAGATTGTCTTGCTTTTGTTTACCCTTCGTAGACTCCATGTTGGAAAAAATCAATATTTGATAAAAATAAGGTATACATAGATGTATACGAATATCACGATCTGATTTGGTTCAAAGATAATATAATTATTGGTGTCAAGAAAATATTTTTAATAAAGATAAACCTGTTGCCTAAAAATTTGGCAAAATAGGTGAGCAGTCTAAACATTTGTCATTAAAATCGACCAAAAAAACTTATTTTCATAGTACTACGAATAAATACAGCAAACAACTTATACTTAAAGGTTTTAATATCTACTAGATTGGTTGACATCAAAAGAGGGGCTGTAATTTTTAACACAAACTCATGTAAGTGGACTATGAAGTGTATACTCTGGACAAATATTTAGAATTTGTCATTTGAATTTTTTTATTTGATTCATCTATGAAGTCTACTTATTCACTGCATGTACATTTTCGTGAAGAATGACCTGCGCATACTATCAACGTAATTGTTTACTATAATTTTTCGGTTATTTTTTCAATTTCGATAAAAGCCAATTTTAAAATAAAAATTCTTTATTATCCACCACTCAAATCACGTTAGCAATATTCCTACCAACCGTCGAAGACAAATCATTCAAAATGGAGATAAACCCAGAACACAAGCAAAAAGACAGGAACATCTGCTTGTGTAAGATAAACATCTGCTTTAGAGAAGGCGTGACCTGGTCCCATTGTGACCGATTGTCACCTCAAATCGGTGATGCTAGTAGATTTAGAATGCGAATTTGAAGCAACGTCTCCCCTGTTCACGCCATATATATTACACCTAATGGTTACATAATTGATCAGAAAGGGGAGAATGAACTGTAAAGCATCCGTAAGGGTCGCGGTGATCCTATAACTGCGCCAGTTTGATGCAGTGGCGTACTAAACGGAAATAAATTGTTAATGTGTTCTTATGTGGTATATTATTCCATCATGGATGTTATAACAACTTAGTATTATTGTATACTGTAAAGTTTAAGAAATCTGTATAGTGTATGATTTAATATATTAGTAAAGGATTAAATTATGTTTCATGCAAAAAATGCTCAAATCGGTATTTAAAATTTCGATCCCCGTTGCGGCGCTACTGATGATAAAAAACATTTTTATCGAATTAAATCGTGATGCTCTTCCATTTCTTTTGTTGAAATGATTGATAGCCTAATTTAGAGACAAGATCTATCAATTTTTATTCTCCCTTTAAATTTCTATTGCAACCCTTTGGTCTCAAAAATCATGGGCAAAGCTGGGTTTATATATAGATTGAAAATAACTTTTAATGCTTATACTAAAATTAGTATATTATCTATCATAATGTATATGTAGAATAAATAGAGGACAGGTCCAAGAACATTGCTCTATGAAATTTTAGATTTAATTTCTATCATCTTTGAATACCATCTATTTTTGTTGTCATAGCCATTATACTTTTCTCGCCCCGTATTATTGGAAACCTAAATCGAATGCACTTGTCAATATGTAGGAAGACAGTTGAACACATTTGTATATTTTATGTTTCTATTCTATGATGCTAGATATACTATATTGTGTCAACAATATAAGAATATGTATAATTAAAAGATTTGAGTGATCGTTGTCTGATCTTAAGACTAAGTAATCTTTCAACAACCATACCAAGAGGCAGCAAAAAAAGATGCCTTTCTTCAAAAAGACGCAATTTCCTTGTAGATAGGTGCAAGTAAAAAACTAGGACTTACCAGGGTCAGGCATTTGAAGCCACTGATGCCTCGAAGAGTACGATAGGTCATGATGTGTGGGATAGGCTGAAGTATCAGTCGTTATTGGATCTATTTCTTCACTATGTTGTCTATCTAATTCTAAAATATCACTAATTGCAAAACTGGCAGGCTGCCTTTGGTTGACCATGGTGGCCCCGGTCATCTTCATCGTATCCAAGAGCCTGAAACAAAACACGAAATTGTTATAAAATTGCTTGATCAGTTTTTGAAAAATCACTTAGAGAGGGACAAATATTTAGCCATTACTTATACGTTCGTATGATTTTTCTTGCAGAAAAAATAAATAAAAACATTTAAAAGTGGGATACTACATTTAAAACCCAAGTATATACTGCTCTGGAACTAATTAAAGAATCTTTAACAATACCGCATATCTCACGTGAATTGGTAAAACATTGTATCAGATACTCGGATATTTTTTGAGTAAGGGTATAAGTACAATAATTATACGAATTATATTGCCTTTCGATGATGGTGGATGAGGTTTTCCGGGTTTTCCTCACCTGTAAGTTAAATGGCACCATCAATCATCTTTAAGTCGCCACGGCAAATAATAATAATAGCCGTCCCTTCCCCTACACAAGTCGTTCAGTCGACTTCAGGGGTTGAAATTCACTCGTAAGGGGGTGAATTAGGGAGAGTATTATTATTATTATTGTTATAGTTCAACAAAAAGTACGCAGAAACTGTATTATTAAAGTCTGATAAAAGTTGATATGACCTAAAATTCAAAATGCAATTATCAAAAATTAAGATTTTTCCGTTGTATAAGGGGTTCGTTTGAAAACATACATTTATATGGCTGAAGAATAAAGTATCGTTACTTTTGACACTATCGAAAACTATTATTAAAAAGTTATTTAGAATTATAAACAACATTTTAATAGGAGTGTGCAGTCTCGGCCATCTTCTAAAAAACATGTGATTTTTCAAAGAAACTTTAGTATTTTGTTCAAATTAATTTAACAAATAAATTAGATAGAATAGATACATTTTTCATATTGAGTGTTATTAATAATACCCTCGTCGCTTTACTAATACAATTCAAATATTTACAGACTGTTCGAAGTTTGAAACAGGTACAGGTTATGCTTTTTACGTCCCAATTTGCAACTATATGCAGAAAAGTCTAATCCCGGACTATTGTTCAATTTTTACTGCTGAAGCCAAAGCAATTTAATCTTCTCTTGATTGGTGTCTTAGTGAAAAAATAAACAAAGCTGTGATTATGTCAGATTCTAAATCTGTTCTACAATCATTGGAAAGTGATGTCACAAAAAATATAATCAACACATAATATAGTATATTATGCAACGATCATGTAATGATGGTTATTAATACACGAGCATTAACCGGGATACGAAACGAGCCAAAGGCGAGTTTCGTATGGTTTATGCGAGTGTTTTAATAACCATTACATGAGAGTTGCATACGCTATTTTTTCTACACCCGATAAATAATCAAGACCTATAAATATTATATTTATATTGGTATTGAACACAATAACAGTAATTACTCGTATTTCTATAAAAAATTCTACAAAATTGTAATTAATGGTATTACTTCAGGTATTGGTATTTCCCTAGATTTTTGCGGTAAAATATTTTGTACTGTATTTTCTGCTTTCTCCGATATGTGTGGAGGAGTCTTCTATATCGCTAATATCAGACATTTTAATATTATAATTATCGAAGTTTAGCTACCTACGAAAATTTAATACGTTTTGACAACTAAAATAATTACATAGGAACCTAGGACAAACGTCAAACAGCATGCTTGATTGAAAAATTGTAGGTTTCTATTGATTAAAAATCTGTATCGTAATGAAAAATCTGTATCATAATGGGTATCATTATGAAACGGATTATGGGCATATAAGTGCATTATTATAATACGGGTGTAGAAAAATAAATATTAGATCCTTATTGTGCAACTTAAGTAAAAGAAAATATTAAAGTAGATTTCATTTGGACCAAAGGACATGCAGGAATACGAGGAAATGAAATTGTTGATTCGGCGGCGAAACAAGCTACTCTCCTTAGTGGAATAGAGGATGTATTTGCGTACGATGATATAATCAATGTCTTTAAAAACCAAATGAGTACAGTTTGGATAAATTTATGGAATGCCTTCATATCAACTTCCAACAATCATTACGTTGATATACAATATTAGTAGGTCATATTCCACAACTATAACACTAATGAAACTAAACCACGGGTATTTCCCAGCACACCTCTTTAGAATAGGCATCAATGAGACCCCTACATGTGTGACAACTTAACAGTCGGTGACTTGAACCATATATTTTTTAACTGTTCCAAATACAAGTACAATTCCGACAACTTCATGAAAAAATCTGATGTGTCCAACACAGGACTTTTAGACAATCAAAACCTAGTGCGTAGAGCTAAAAGAGTCAAATCTTTTGAGCTTGTGTAAGTGAAGTGATCGAAGTGTGCAGAATATGTTAATAACTAGTATTGAACAGGTGAGTTTGGTAGTAAATTAGGTTATTATAAAAATGCTGATTAATCTTGTAAGATTTGGTGCATTCGGACATATTAAAAAATCTGATGTGTCCAACACATGACTTTCCTATCTAGTTATTACAGGCTTTTTCCGTTTATTGTGTACAACCTATTGCAGCATCTCTATAAATGTTTAGAGGATAAACTAAATATATACATTGTCCACATACATCTACCGCGAAACATTTTTCTATAGATATTCATTGAAAATGAAAATACTGAAAAATTTAAATTTAGCACTTTTCCTACAATTTTTCCATTACGGTCCATTTAAAAAAAATCATGTATGAACAAATATTATAGAGATCGATATCGCAAACAACTTTTATTTCAACAATTTTCATAAAAATCAGAATTTTGCACATTTTGTCAAATTTCTCGAATACGGACCATTTCAGGAAATTTTTACATAAGGCAAAAATTATAGATAATAATATTAGAAGTAACTTTTATTTGAACAATTTTCTTCTCCAAACATAAATAACAGATATATTCCATAAAATATAAAAACGGCCTCCCATAAAGTACCCCCCCAGATGTTCCGACTTTGTCCAAAATCTAATCATTTCACGTCAGGCCGAAATAAAACTTAAGTTTAAAATTTATTGATTTTTTCTTTATCCGTTTTTGAGTTTTCTTCAAATTTCGAAATTTACACATTTTCTCAAATATCTCGAATACGGTCCATTTTAGAGAAATTATCTATGGGACAAAAATTATAGAGAATTATATTACAAACAACTTTTGTTTAAACAATTTTTATAAAAAAAAATATTTTTTTACATTTTGTCAAATTTCTCGAATACGGACCATTTTAGGAAAATTTTGTAAATAACAAAAATTATAGATCATAAAATAAGAAGTAACTTTTATTTAAAAAATTTTCTTCCCCAAACGTAAATAACAGATATATTTCATAAAATATAAAAATCACCACCTATAAAGTACCCCCCCAGATGTTCCGACTCTGCCCAAAATCTAATCAGCTCATTAGACGCTGGAATAAAGCTTAAGTTTGAAATTTGGTATTTTTCCGTGTATCGGTTCATGAGTTATGCGTTATACAGACACACACACACACACACACACACACACACACACACACACACACACACACACACACAGACACACACACACACAGACATCATCGCGAAAATAGTCAAAACGGATTCAGGGGACCTCAAAACGTAAAAATCCGTCGAAAACTCGAGGTCGAAAAAAATCATGATTCCTATACTTTCCTTATATCTGTATACAGATAGGAAAGTAAAAATAAATAATTGTTAAATTGTGTAAAATCAATATTTATCAACCATACAAAATCCAAGCCTCCTAGATCTAAATATAATTGTTTTCTTTCTTTTTAAAGGGAGAATAAACCAAAAAAACTAGGAGATAACACCAGGCAATGGCTTACATTGAATAAAAGAATTATTTAAGATAATACTTTAATATTCTCAAAAATAATAATGAACCTGTTGGGTAAATTTTGATTTAAATAGGTAATGGAAAGTGGAGAAAAGAAAGTCCAGCGACAGCTGGGTCCAAACTGGCTATTAGGACGCTTTATCAGTGACAGTGGGGTCTATTCTGTAAAACATCTGCTAAAATTTAGAGCCCTTTAAAAATTTAACTTTTAACGGCCCGTTAATTTTTTTAACCAAAAATTTTAGAGGGCTGTTAAAATTTATTTTTTTTAACGGAGTCCCTTAAAAATGAAAGGAAAACACTTGACAACATTGCATTTAAGATTCATTTGAAATAATTTTGAAAACATCCTTGAAAACCCTCAATTTTTAATTCAAAATCAAAACATACCTACATAGGGACATTAAACAAAAAATGTCTCGCGCACCAAGAACTACTAAAAACCAAAAAGAGTGGATGATAAACTTCTTAGAACAGCAAAATTTGCTTCACGAAAGGAAAATACATCTAGTAGATACAACGAAATAAAAAAAAGTTTGGAAAAACGAATTAAATAAAATTGGGCCCAGACATCTTCTAGGAAAATTATATTTGTCGTGAAATCTGTTTATTATATTATTTCTTTTATTTTCCAAATTAGGAAATACAAATAGGGTAACAGGTTATTAAAGCAAAATTATCCTTGTCCTGCAGATAGTTGGTCCTTATCCATCCTCCTGTTCCAAAAAAATGAGTTTGTATTTTTAAATATGCTGGTATTGCCGTATTTCTTCAAAATGGCCTCATGTGTGGTTTTATATAATATTAACTATAGTTCTATCTACAACTATAAAAACCAAAAAATATTTTTACATTTGGTAACTGAGATGGATCGCTAAAGTTCCTATAATTCACCTTTGATGTAATCGAAATTCGGCTCTGTAATATTAAATGTAATACATATACCTACATTATATGTTTTGTACTTTATTATAGCTTTCTTCATTTTCTAATAACTCTTCAATCAAAATTTTTCCAATTATAATATTAAAAAAGGCCATTCTCGGTTCCGTTAAAAATTAAAGGTGAATTTTAACATGCCTTTAAAAATGATTATTATTAGAGAACTATTTTAAAGGAATCCGTTTAAATAATGACAGAATTAAATTAGCGAATACGAATATATTTTTAAAGGCCGCCAATATTTTAACGGCCGATAAAAT